AGAAGACACGCGTGTATACGTGCGCTTGTGCGCGCGCGCCCGACACCGTATATGGGAAACGAAGTCGTGACACAAATCTCGATTACGGGCGTGCACGCGCGTATTTAAATGCCACTTTGATTTGAAAAGCTCAGGAACTTCGGTTGTTCATCGTCTACATATCGCATTCCATATCATAATGTCAATTGTGTAACTATTCTCCACGTAGAGAAAAGTATTATTCAAAGATAAGCAATTACTCAACTGGTTTTTTTTTTAACCCTTATCGGACGCTTGCTTTTTATGCGTGATTCTCACTAGGTTGTAGCTGGTTTCGGTAAATATGCAAAAAATTTTCAGTATTATAAGAATAACATTTTTGTTAGAAATTATTTATTTTTCGAAGGAGTATTACAAATATATGAGTCTTAAATAATTATTTATAAGTTTTTAATGTATGATATTTTTTGAAACAATCTCCAACATGAAAGAATGATTTTCTGTTGCACATTTCACAGAAGTATACTGTTGTTTTTCTTCCTCCAGGCTACTTACGATTAGAACATAGTAAACAGTCATTATGTTTTCCTTTAGCATCAAGTTGGAGGATATGTAGTTTTCCATCTAATCTCTCCTCATTGTCTGTTGTTGATAGCGTTTCATATCGCGCAATTTCACCTTCACGTAAATTCCCAATTAGTGATATAACTAATTTCCGAATAAACTTTATATGAGACATTGGTTTACTGTTGTTATATTTACAATCAGCTTTATACAGAATATAAGAGCGAGATTCAACAGGTACCCGCATTTGACAGAGAGCGAGTTTCGAGAGGTGACTTACGACCGATAAGGGTTATATAACTGTTATCTTGAATATTTTCTTGATAATAGTATTAAAATATACTCATCACAAGTATTAGAAAAGCTTATTATTATTTACTTAATAGAAAAATTTGTTCTCTTGTCGAGAATATTATAAACTTTATCGTGGAAAAGTTAAATTCGGTTGATTTGATTTGAAGTAAATCGAAGTTTGGTTTTGATATTTTTGTTTAATATTCTTGATTGAAGCGCTAAATTTACTAAGATTCATTTAAGAATATGTATTTTGATGCTTATGATGAATTTATGAATATATTTGTGGATATATAAGATACTTGAAACAAGTAATATTTACTTGAATGCTTTGTGTAAGAATCAAGGCGTGAAAAGTGAAAGAAAGCTTCACGCTTGTACAGCTTGAAAAGTTACATAATGCAACAAATTGCTGAAACCGCGAAGTTCACGTAAATTCATGCAAACGATCATGTAACTCTTCCTTGGGAGCGGAAACGTAAAAGGTGAAAAGTTTCACGTAAAAATCTCCACGTTTTTACAGTTTGAAAAGTCACACAATCGTGTTAAAATCGCGAAGCTCGCGTAAAATCATGCTGACGATCGTATAACTTTCCCCTAGGAGCGGAAACGTGAAAGGTGAAAAGTTTCATGTTTCCGCAGTTCTAAAAGTTACAGAGGACAGCTCGAGTCGTCGAGTTCACTTGAAACTTTACTTTTCACGTTTCCGCTCTTCAGTAGAAAAAAAAATCACACGATCACTACCCATGAACCTTCATACCTCGCTACTTCGCTCAATCCATACATTTCCTCCATATTACATGTTCCACGTGGAAAAAAAAAATAATTAGCTCTCACAGCTAAAAACTAGCCCTCAAAAGAGGAAAGTAGCTTCCACAAGTAAAAATTAGACCTGGTAACTAAATTTCAGTTATATTACATTATATAAGCTACGCCGGACGGCTAATTACTTTTTGTCCGTGCGCTGTGTCTACATTTTATCTTCGCAAATGCACTTGAGCCTCGCTTTAACAGGGATCCTAGAACACGAGATCAAGCAGAAGTCCATTCTGTTCTCTCCCGATACAAAGCGCGAGATACAAAGTTTAACAGCTTACCCTGCCCTCCTTGGCACCGGTTCGCGCGTTCCCGCGACCGTTCTCGCGTCGGGATTTATTGTACGGTTTACTTTTACCGGCGAAACCGCGCATTCTCTCGCTGCGTCACTCGCGCCCGCGTCTATGCGGATTTGTGCGTGTAATTATATGCGCTTGTGCGTCGATTTCTATCTCGATAAGTAGGTACCGGACACGGCGGCGGCGTGTTACATGCCGCGCGATTAAATCCCGCTGAGGCTGCCTCGTCGCCCGGAAGGTTTCTATCGAATTTCACTCGGCGGCTCGCCCGGTCACACTCGGTCGATTAATAATTTCCCTATTCTAATTCTATCTCTCTCTTTCTCGGCGTAATATCGCCCGACGCCAGGAGGCGCCTTGCGCTCGCTCGCTCGCGAGGTGAATTATCTCGTTTGCACGCGCGCGCTCGCCGCTCAGAATAGTTCGTTTAAGCGCGCTTAATTCGCTGGGGTATGTTAATAGCGCGCGGCGCGGCTTCAGCGCACGCGTATCACCTTTTAACGTACCGCCTAATTAATAAGTTCTCCGCTAACAGTCTAATTGCTCGTGCGATCCGCTGAAGGCCTGCGCGCCCGAGACGCGCTCCGTAACAAATCACGCGGTTAATAACGATGTGAGAGAGAGAAAGAGAGGTAACTAAATTGGAATAAATTGGAATTGCGATCGTATTGCGAGGCGCGTTATCGCGCATCATATCGCGATTCCATTGTGTATGCTAGTGTATGTGTGTGCGCGCGTAATTCATAGCGTAGTATCAGCGTCACGTCACCGGTTGTATCAATTAACGGTTGCCACGTGCATCCGGAGAAGTTTCGGCGAGCGGAAACAGGGGGGATCTATGCTCGGAAAAAACGTTTGATTGAATTTACCAGGCAGGCATGAATAAACCAAACACGCTTCGGTAGAAGGAGATGGAATTTCTGGTCCTTATGTCTCTACATTCTCAAATTCGGTTCTCGCAATCAGAAATTCTGTTTCCTTCAACTGAAACGCGTTCGGTTCACTCATTGTTCAGTAAATTGAACCAAAATTTCTTCCCATACGGAGAAGAAAGTGCTAGATTCAAATAAATAATTATTCCGACACTCAATTTACGCTTTAGCAAATTTTTGCTTGCCTTGAGTAAATTTTATTTGCATCGATATTTTTCAAGTATTACGACTACTCCGGGATTAGTAAAAAGTAAATATTACTTGAATGTGATTGGAAGAAAACGAGCTACATTCAAGTAATATTTACTTAATCCAAATAAAATAATCATTCTCCAATATGTACTCCTTAGCAAATATTTATTTGAACGTAGCACTTTTTTCACTACATGCGTACTGAGGGAAAGTTAACACACACGCGTCCATCATTTCAGGTTTGCTTAATTCATCAAAGTCATATATAATTATTCATCCAACACTTTCAGTTTAGAGGATCAAATTGTTTATTTCTTAGAAATCTTGAATTAGTATCAGAATTAACTCTATTAAAAGCCCTATTAAACGAGAATTAAGCGCTGAATACGAAAATAAGATTATTAATTATATTAATTAAGCGTCACTCAATACATCTATCATAATTAATTATACAGTAATCGATAAAATTATGAATTATTATTAGTCAAGAGATTTTATTCATTAAAAGTCGAGGCGCCCCATCCGTTGACAGATGAGTCGAAGGACAGATGAAGTTTCTCTCGAGGCTGATAATATTCTCAGAGAGAGAAAGAGAGAGATCGTCGATGAAATTCTCTCGATGATTTCCGACGCGAGCCCGTTCGTGAATCATTATTCGTGTGCGCGCTTAGATTGCACGGGTAATCGAATTCGCGCGTAAGACTATAATTTCTACCGCGCAGTAGATAACGATGACAGGAAGAATGCAAATATCGTTATCAGACGTTGTACGTACAAAGCGCACTGCTCGATTCTCTTTCTCTCTCTCTCTCTCTCTCTCTCTCTGATTATTTTGATATTTTGTTTCTTTTATTTTTTTTTCTTTCTTGTAATGCATTTCCTTAATACTGATAAACACCTCTCTCTCTCTTTTTCTCTCTCCTCTCCCTCTCCTCTCTCTCTCTCTCTTTCTCTGTCTGTATGCGTGTGTGTGTGATATTGTATGCATACACGATGTCGTAGGAAACCCGATCTTTCTCGAACTTCCAGGCCGCCTCCGCCGTCGCGGTCATCTTCTTCGCAGCCCCGTGGAACACGAGTTCCTCTCCTCTCATCGCTGTTCCGCTCTCCGCGTTGCAATCGACGTACAAAGGATGTTCACGATAACGAGCGGCGTCGTTGACCGCTTGTCGTTCGCTCTCGCGTTATTCAGCGAACTTTCATGCCGCCCGCTCGTGATGAGAGAGAAAGAGAGAAGGTCGCCCGCGGGGGAAATCTGTCGTAAAATAACGCGAGCGGCTCATGTCGAGCGGGGATATTTTCGCGACGGAGAAACTGGGCAATGCGAAGTTAAGACTTACTTGGGATACCGGGTGTCGCCCGAAAACGGGACAAACGTGACTGGCGGATTCGCGACGCCACTTGAAAATTCGAACGCGCGCTCTTCGTCACCACATGAAAAATACACACACACACACAATCGGCAAATTAAAAGTTGCAACACTTTTTTCAGACGAATTTTAACGTATCTCGTGTCCAATGGAAGAATTTGCTTTCTTAGTAATGTTTGAGAGATATATTTATAAATTTAAAAATATAAGAATAAAAAAATTATGGAAAGATTACAAATTGTTCTACATGAAGAAATGATACCAAAAGTTTGACAGTAATTCAGAGGTTGGATCAAACGTAATTTTGCTTGATGAATACTAAATTTTTAATAATTTATGAATCGGCCCTTCGATGCGCCTCTGAAAATACTAATGGGTAACACATCCTTAAAAGATATCAGATATATTTTCCCGTTGAACACGGGATTGCGTTGTGGAATTTGTCGAAAAAAAAATATTGGGTCCTTTAATCTGCCGACTCTCTGTGTGTGTGGGTGTGGGTATGTTTTACAAAAGTATATTCTGTGTACGAATTTTTCGTTCCTTCGCTGCAGACACATACCAAAGGCCAAAGCCACCACGATGGCGGAGACACCGGAGCTGAAGCGCATCGCTGAGAACACGAAGATACAGAGTAACGTGAAGTATCACGCCGAGTTCGAGAAGGCGAAGGGCAAGTTTACGCAGGTCGCAGACGATCCGGAGACCCTCAGAATCAAGCAGAACAGCAAGATCATCTCGAACGTCGCTTATCACGGCGAGCTCCAGAAGAAGGCAATCATGGAGCAGAAGAGGACGATGACCGGGGAGAATGGCGAACAGATAGGTGAGCGTTGGATCTTCTTTCTTCGTACTCTCGATTCGTTTGTGCGTGACGTCTTCTTTTCTCGTTTGATGCGATGTCCGTAATGTGTTTTTGATCATGTACGAAGCAAAAGCAATCATTCTTTGGAGACCTCAAACTCGTGAAAGACTGTGTTTACTTCGGGAATATTTTTAACTTGCATTTTTAATTGAAAGATCGGTATATGTTTAATTCCTAGAAGCCTGAGATGACTATTAAATCTATTATTATAAAAGGCAGATAACACTAGAAAAATTGAGGGTGGAGAATTTAGCTTACATTATAATTAAGCGATTTTATTAAATGACAAAGGAACATCCCATAAATGGGATACTGGTCGGCAATGGGTTAATTTAAGGGGAAACAGACGGTCACGAAAGCTTGATCGAATCAAAGAAAACGCCATGAGTCTTTTTTACGATGGACGGTTTATTAAATCGGCTACAGAAGCACACGACACCTTCGTCCGTTGGGAACGGAAGATAATTTTATTCCAAACTGCAGCATATTTTCTTTATCTGTTTGTCCCTTGAGTCACTAATCAATCGTTCCGGTATCGGACCACATTGTGATCACCGCAGGTTCACGTCACGTTGTAATAATCACAATCGCCCTATTGTGAATATACATTGCGTGTATGCATTCGTGTTATAACGTGTTATTACTAACCGACGCTAATAATATCCACGATTTACGTATTAATTTACATATCGACAATTTTACAATCGGTTATACGTGGACAATAACACGATAACGCTGTTGAAGCTTCATTTCAAATTATTATTACTCGGTCGGTTTCTTATCGGACTTTTCAAAGCGAAGTTCGAACGGACGAAGGATCGTTTCGATTCTTCATCACATCCTTATCATCAGCACTACCGCATTCATCATCCGTATGTCGATCTGTGATGGGCCGATGATAATCGGGGTGGCTTGTCATTGGACCGTATCGCTAGCTTCTTGTGCACTGTTGATATAGAGTACGTAGAGTACACAGACGGCACTATCGCCCCTGCATCGAGTATAAACGCCAATCCGCCGCCTGCAAGGACGGCGAATTCGCCGGTACAGAGGACACCAGGTAGGATCGCCGATTACGATCCGCTTAGCGAAGCGAGGCCGAGCCCGTATTCTGCAAGGCAAGCCGCCACCACTGTCATTTATACGAGCGACAAGGGACCAGGTGTGTTTACCTTCACGAGCGTGCAATCGTTGCTGCGCTCGCTTCTTTTTCGTCCGCGCGCGTGGACGCATTGCATGATCCTGCCGCCGCAGCACTGCATCGTATTATCGTGACACGAGTACAATAATTCTATTATTCTTCACAGTGCACTCTGATATAAAAGCAACTTTTCAGTCTACCGCTCTTTTATAGTGATGATTTTTTTAGGACAACATGAAGTGGTTATTAATCCTTTTCTAACGATAATTTTTAGAACTAATTATAAAATTTTTTAAACGAGAAATTGCTAACTTTTTAATCTAACGATAGTTTTTTACAGGATAACGTGAAATTAGATGGAGAAATGTATGGTTGAATTTGTCATAGTGACGGTGAGACAGAATTTCTGGTTATAAGAATCAAATTTAAGTCATTAGAGACAGAGATTCTGTTTCCTTTGATCAAAACGGATTTGGTTTGTCCACTGTCTGGTAAATTCAACCAAACTTTTCCGTGTATTATCGGTTTCCTCTAACAATTTTTCAAATAAATTGAAATTATTATTAATTTTTCTCCCACAATATTTTGCAGAATAATTTTATATTATTATCAGTTTTTGCCTAGCAATATTTTTTTGGATAACGAGAAATTGTCAACTTTTTAGCAACATTTTTTTTTAATAATGCGAATGAATGACGCTATATGACACTTGCAGCACGATAAATAATATTTTACACAATATGTGGTTGAAGTTTGGAGCGATATTCGATAAAATTTTGAAAAAATAGTTTATTGAAATCGATTGCCCGGTAGATCTCCATAATCGACAAAACTCAAACAAGCGTACTCATCCACAAAAATAAAATTTTCTGCGGTCTCAGCGCTTCTGTACAAACAAAGGATAGTATTTTTATGCTTTACCGCTCCGGATTAGAAAAAAATAGTTGGTTAATCATTAGGACCCGGAAGACTACCGTTCACTGCTACTTCACTACTTATGTTAATATTGACGTATACTTATGTTAATATTGACACATTTCGTACAATTTTATTATTTTTCGCATATCTTTGTTTTTTTCCCAACGTTAAATTTGAAAAAGAATTTTTTAATTTTCACTCCAAGATCGTTCCAAACTTCAACCACACAATTGCATTTACGTCAAAGTGTCCGAATCTTGTGAAAATTTAATAATTAAATCGCCTTTCGACGATTAATCAAAATATAGATATGTTTAAACGATGTAAAGATGACTGTGTGTGTAAACGCGTTTCAGTTACGTATACATATGAAACACACAACTTTGTTCTCTCTCCGTCGGTGTGCGTGATATTTCAATTTTAACGTGATCGACGACGTAATTGGTAGTTGAAGTTAATCTCGGATATATCTGATATATCTCCGCGCCGGTAATAATGTGTCTGGTTGCATTAGAGTAGCAATTGAGATTCGTGAATGATCAACGGATGGCCGGGGAGGGAGGGAGGGAGTATCACATTGATATATATTTCCTATTGTGATTTCTCTCTCTCTCTCTCACGACCGTATTCAACGATTTATAGAAGGATAGTTGCGTGTGGGACGGTCGTTCTACGGGCAGTTAGATCGGTAGATATCGAGGTAGTAATTGGATTACTCCTTACAGTAGACAACGCTTAGCCTGTTGCTATTGTAACATGCCTGGATTATTACGCTCTTGGATTGCGATGTCGCCTGCCGATGCTGCTTTATCACACGTTTAAGTCGCAGCCCGCATTTTGCACTCTCTGTCCGTCGTCTTTCTCGCGCCGCCTCATCGTGTGTCGGCATCGTCATTTCGCCGCGCGATTCATCAACACGGAACGCAATCGTCGGGGACGATTTGCACCGGAATCGATCGTTGCGACGTCGCTTGCCTTAGCAGATTAGAAAGCGCGCACGATTGCCTTTGTCTAACGTCCCTTGCGCGTTCCGTCTGCTGCATATGTGTTGCTTCTCCTCGCCTCATCGTCGCCGAAGCTTCCAAATGACACGCGTGGCGAGCGACTGCTCGTTTGCCGAATAACAATCGTCGTTAACCGGACACAAGAGGCTGCTAATTAAGAGCGCGCGCGCGCTGTACGACGTAGAGGGAGGATGGTTCGCGAGTATCTGTGTATTAACATGCGATGTGTTGCAGTGACGAATCCACCGACACGGAAAATCGGCTCGGTCGCCGACATCGACCCGGTGAACGAGTATTACGGATCGCTGACGCCGGCCACGAACAACAATCATGTCTCTCAGCATCAACCGCCGCCGCCACCGCCTTCCAACGTGGGGGTAGTTATCATTCGCCTTGTATTATATATTACGACTTATTTCCATTCAGTCGAGACTTATCTTAAGAATCATCTTTTCAAGTTCACGTACGATCAAAGAATAAGCATACGATTAAATAAATGATTGTTCAAATAGATTTAGATGATTCTTGTATGATTAAAGAAGGATAGTCGAAATGTATTTGCGTCGAATTTGAAATCATTTTTCTATTCTCTCTTTTTCTCCTTATATATTTTGTTTTGAAAAATCTTTTGTCTTATATGAACATTTTTTTGTTTCGTTTGAAGATTTCTTTTACTTAATTTGAAAAATTTCTCTCTCTCTCCATGTGCCTTACTTTTTTCCCTTTGGTTCTTTTATCCCGTACAATTTTATTCTTTTCTCTATTTCTCTTTATATGCTATCGTAAAAGGACTTAACCCGTTTACAGCTGAATAAATAAATAAAAATATGACGGAAGTTCGACGTGTGTTTCTCGTGTGTAACTTGACTCGTTTTTTCTCCTTCGCAGCGGGTGTACAGAGCGATATATGATTACGAGGCGCAGGACCTCGACGAGGTGAGCTTCTACGACGGCGATCTGATCGTCAACTGCACAGCCATCGACGAGGGCTGGATGACCGGGTTGGTGCAGCGTACGGGGCGACAGGGCATGCTACCCGCCAATTACGTCGAGCCAGCGCAGATTTGAACGTCTTTCATGTCGAGCTCCCGCTAAATCGTCGCCGCCGCCGTCGCCACCACAACCATCGCCACCGCCGCCACCACTTGGCTCGGGGCCGAAGGAAGAGACGGCGTTAAAGGAAATACGCGATACAATACTCGAGATAGGGCTTCTAATATTTTGATGACTCTTGTTACTTGCGAGGTTATTCGTTCGATCGAAACGACGAGCATAATTCGCGTCGTCGTCGTTTGTGCGGAATTGATTCCTTCCAAATCTTTCAAAATAAGACAATAATTTCTCTTTCATCTTGACGCCTATTCGCCACCGTGAGGTTCGTTTGGGCAAGATTGAATGTTTCTCTCTCAAGGTACGATGAATTCGTACTCGAGAGAGGAGATTCGTTCGCGAGTATCCTCGCAACTGACTTCCAAAATGACAATATACATATAGTTTTATATACACACACACACACACAAACACAAACACACGTTAGAATTCCATGGTGGGACCAACTCCATGCAACTGCGATAAATTGTGCCGAGTATAGAAGTAAAAACTGGCTGACGGCTTGTGGAGTGAGTTCAGTTCGAGTCCCGAGACGGGACAATGATCAGGGAGAATCGAGTAGAGAGAGAAAGCGTCCTCTCGTGGCGCACAATTGTTGTATAAAGCATCACTTGTTTTCTTTTTTTTTTCTTCGTTATTATTCGGCGTTATCGGAAATCGCTCGATCGTCATTCCTTCGTCTCAATGGCCGCGTTCAGCAGAAGTTTATTTATTTTGAGACTGTTGGAAGTTTTCCGACCTGAGATCGGATTGTTCTTTTAGATCTAGAAAAATTATCCAATCTCAGCTCAGAAAATTTCCAGCGGTTCAGCAAAATAAACGTTTCTACTGAACGTGACCATTGTCTCCTCTCTGGAGCCCAAGTGATTTCGTACGAAGTTTTAATTATGTGAAGTCGGAGAGGAAAGACGGGGACGTCGGGAGGTCGATCGAATTACTGTGGAATTGCCGTTTTGTCGATTGCTCGTATTTGTTAATCATTCTCTTTTTACTGGTGTGATGAGAATTTTACGTTACCTGTTATCCGATTTGCAAACTCTAACGCGTCAGTCAGATTTTGGAATATTCCTGATCGTTTCTTATTTTTTTTTTTTTCTTGCATTTATAGCCGTTACATTCTTCGTCGTCTTCTTCAAATCGTCCTAGTTCTTACCTTTTTTTTCTCTCCTTATCTTCCTTTCTCTTCCTTTCTTCGGGGATGTTTACACCTCTGTGTGTACTTTTACTACTTTAGCCGTGATAACGTCTAATCTATCGTTCTTCCTCTAACGATAACGAAACGTAGGGACGAATTTTCCCTTCGCATTTCCCAATCGAAAGGAAACGACGCAACAACGTGTGCCTTACGTATATAGGCTGTTAACTTTAATAGATGATACGAAGTTTTTTAATTATAACATAGAGATGCATGCATCGGAACAAGCGTGTCCGAGGGAGCAGGAAGAAATATTTATCATTCGGAGATATCCTCTCTTTCTTGCGGTGCCGCAGGAGCGCGTTTTGATTCGCCTTTTCAAGCGAATAATCTTGAAGACGAAATCGGTCGAAGTGACGCGGGGAGCACAAGTTCTTCCACTTTTTTTCCTGTTCTTCTTTTAACCACGGAGCGCGAAAGTGATCGTTAGATATCCGTAAATTAATAAAAATCGGCCATCTCGTCGATGTGCGTCTGACTAAACGACAATTAACCGACATTTACTGCGTAGCTTTTAAGTTACTTTTCCCTTTTATCTCGTACGGTCCGTCTTTTGTAAGCTTCGCAACTCGCTCGTCGAAATTGCATTTACGTATATTTATTAAATATAAGTTACATCATCCGGCGAATCTGAGGTTACCGAGCGATTCGAGATCTCTTTCGTTAAATCGCTGATCTTGTACCGAAAAGCGAATATTTTCAAGCGCCGAACACCATCGCTCATGTTGAGCGCGCATGCGCGACGGCCGATCTCGCGAGAGACACAGCTCTCGTCGAGTTCGTCGTCCGTTTCTTTGTTTTTATTTTTTTTTATTTTTTTTATTTATTTTTTTTTTAACAACAAACCTGAAAATGATGGCAGTTAAATTTGTAAAGCACGAAGCTTCGCGTCGCCATCACAGGGTGCTTCCTGAGAGAGTGCCTTTTTATTTTTTTCCCCCCTTTTTAACGAGCGTTATTGTGCCTTCCAAATCGTAAATGTTCGATCATGTTATCTGACACACAAAGTGGGTTCCTCAGAAGCAACATCTACATCGTATTTACCTGAATAGAGACGGATTATTAATTATTATTGTACGCACCGTCGTGAACGGCGCGCGACGCGCAGAGCGACGGGGAAAAACGTGTCTGTAAAGCTGTAGTAAGTAAAACTCGTTGCTCGCGCGTTCGTCGCACGCGCGCGCCGTTCCCGCCGGGCTTATACACGCAAGCGAAGAAAGAGAGAATCGATATTTTTGGAAACACGTTAACTACTCAGCACTCCTGTAATTATTAGATCGCTGATGAAAGGATTTTACGGCAGATTTTTTTCACTGCAACATACAGAAGTATATGTTTAGCGTTGTGTTTAGACAGATAATCTATTCTATTATAATATTCGAATCGTAAATAATGAACATGTGTATGTTATGTAAACCCTGTTCTGCTTCATTATTGATCGCCACGCCGTATGTGAATCGGCATCCCTCCGCTTCCGTCGACGAGAAACTCCTTCACTCACGAGGCGGGAAATCCTGATGACGTCGAAACGACGACGAAATGAACCGAGTCGTGATCGAGAAGCGAGTTTTTGTCGTAGTTTTCTTGTCACTTTGACGTCATCGTGATTTCTGCTCTGTCTGGGTAATGTAAAGGTGGATACACACTGAGCGAATGAACAACGAACAAACAGCGAATGCGATGAACTTTTTCTTTGGTGAACCACCTTACGAATCGGCCCGAAACGTTCTGTTTGGGTTCCTTACGACGTACAGATCTTCCAAATTATTTAACGAAAGTTTGCATTCACTGTTTCTTCCAATTGCCCAGTATGTATATACCAACTTGAGCTCACGCACAGAAGCGCGAATGTCCGCAGAAATACGCGTTCGACGTCGGCATTTCATCACAATATGTATACACAGGACGAGGTAATAATTATTACATTGTGAATATCTCGGAAAAATAAATTTCATATTAAGGGGATCCTGGAGTTGTCCTGTTTTGCCACAAATTCTCTAGCACTATACTCGTTACTGGCTGCATAGAATTAAAAATATTCTTGCACAATCAAATACACACGCCAGTGTAAGCGACGACGGTTGGCTTTATTCGAAGAACGAAAAAAAGTTAACAAATCCTGTAACTTTTTTTCGTTTCTCGAATAAAGTCAACTGTCGTCGCCTGTAGAACGCAGCCAGTAACAAGTAGGTCGACTCTAAGGTCCCCTTAACGACTAGACGAAGATGAGAGAAATTTACATTTTTACAGGAAAGTGTTTGACGACCATCAATGCAATTTCCGTTAGATAAATTTTCCTAAAAGAAAATATGTATATGCACGTAACCAGACCGTGGCTTTTGCTTGCCTCCTTTAAATTTTAATATTTAATTGTATATCACGAGAGCTTAACACACGATATAATTTACAAACTTATCTCCCGCTCTCACACATATTTCGAAGACACTCTAGGTGGTAATGGTTATTTATTGCCTCACTCTGTGCATAAATAATTTCTCTTTGTCCAGTTCATCATCTTATACTCGTAAAATATGCAAAAGGTGTCGCGGCGTATTCGGCGCCGACAACACACCGCGGAAATTCCACCGACACCGCTGGCATTCGCCGTGTTATCGCAAGGTAATAGAATATTCCGCGTCGCACAGCTGGCAGAAGTTGCTCTCGGCTCGGAGTGAATTAGCAGCCGCGCGACCGATCGGTCGCGGCTGAGCAAACGGACGAGTTAATCGCGGCGGCGTGTATGCAGAGATATAAAATATGCAATATTTATTGAGAAAGTAATATAAATACAGTAAAATAATAATTATCACATAAGATAGTCAAGATCGCTGCGTCGGGTGCGTGTTTGAAAGTCTCTGAGCTTGGTCCATCTCGTGATTGATTTATCGTCGATCCGTCGGCGTGAGTTAGCTAGCTTTGCGTCGATCATTATTATCATTATTATCGTTATTATCGTCGCCATCATCATCATGACGCGTGTATACCTGTGTTTGTTATCGCCGGCAGTCTCGCGACTCTCCTTTCGCGCGAGGATTACGGACTAATGAGATAAAAAATTTTCACCGTCGAAGTGCATCGTCGAAATGCCGCAATGAACGTATGGATCGTACATATGTATCGAACTTGACCGACCTTCCCGCGACCCGATTGGTTTTCGCGTTTCTCGCGCGTCGTGATCCAGCCCAGATCGCTTTGCAAACCTTCTCTACATCGTAGAAAGCAACTTATGTGATACAATGATGAACCCAACCGGCGGCCGCGCTTTCGCGCCTCTCGGATCGACCGGCTGATTCATCGGTACTTTTTGACACGGTATTGCACGATAGACAACATAGAAAAGCACGAAGGAATGGATGATACATGAATGGTACAATGCGGTTAATGCGAATCCAACAAGAGAGACTCAGAACATCGGACTCCTAATATCGATTAATTAGACCGCACTGCTTAATCGTACGGTGGAATGTGCGCGAATAAAGCAACGGGGAAAGGAAAAGAAGAGGCGAATCAAAGGGAAAGAAGGAAAAAGTCTCCCCGCCGTCGAACGGGAACGTTCGCTCATTCGGACCGGTGAATGATTTTGAACATTGGCTCCGGCGAACGCCACCCCTTGAAGCGGGGGGGATCTCAAAAGCGGGAAATCTTATCACGCTATCACGCGCGTAGACCGCCGCGTGTCTGCGTTAGCGGTAATATAAAGTTCTTTCTCCCGGAAATTCACGCTCACACGCGATATACGTACAAATCGGCAGAACTATCAAAAGAGATTACACGGAGGGCCCCGTCTCGTGTTTCCTGCTTTATATAGACTGTATTCTGAACACAACGTGCGTCGCGACGACGACGACGACGACGACGAGCCGGGATGTCGCGGTTAAGGCCATACGGACGACTCCTCGACGCGGAAGATCGGACGAAGACGAGCGCGCGGCGGGCGAGAAGAGCCGGCTTTCGCGAACAGCGCGCGACCTTCGACACCGGTAACTATACGTCGTCAGCGGGGAAATTGCGCAGCGGGGCGGGACGAAGGGAGACGGAAAAAGAAACTCGGATCCTCGTAAGGCGAATATGAGACCCAGCTGTGAGGTTAATCGAAGCTTCATCGACACCGTGACGATGCAAGCGGGCTCAGGGGGATGCGAACTCGGGAGACTTGAACGCGCGCGTGACGAGGTCTCCCTTTCTCTCCCCCCTCTCCCTCCCTCCCTCAGCGAGACTCGCAACGTCTCTTTGCAACGGAGCTCCTGGCCGTCGAGTCACGCAGCTAACGGAAACGTCGACGATCGTCTTCGTGCTCCTGCTCCTCCTCCTTCTCCTCCTGCTCCTCGTCCTCGACGTCGACGACAATACTTCGACGAGTCTCTCTCTCTCTCATTTTTTTTTTATCGCGTAACGTGTGGAATGCTAAATGTATCGGACGACGAGCGACGTGTTGTTGTGGCGAAAGGTCCGCGTGCTGGCAGTGTCATTTTATTGTAGCGTGAAACAATCTGTTTTCTCGGTGTTTCTCCCCCTCCTCCTCTTGTACGTGTGTGTGTGTGTCTATTTATCTTTTCGGTTTGTTTCCTCTCGCTGCTTGTGGTATGGCGTGTAACGAACACGCATGCACATACACGCGATCTCTCACACACACACACACACTCCTTCCTCCCTCCCTCCCTTCCTCCGGCCGGCGGGCCGTACGCATTTAGCCGGTCTGCTAATATCCGGCGAGGTCGGCGAACGTCTGATCCATCTCGTCGGCGATCGCTTTGTACTTACAGCGCTCGTTTACCAGCACGTCTGCAATGAGAAGGGCGGGAAACGCGATATTAGTGGACACGGTACACGGTTAGTCGGTTGGCTGTCTACATCTTAATACGTGATCGGTTGATTGGAAAGAGAAAGAGAGCGATAGAAATGCACATGTACATAGGTAGACGCATATATATATATACACACATACACACATACATATACACAGAAGGCACACATTCTCAGTAGTTCACATTATGCCTGACAGTAGGTCGTATTAATTTTTCAGCTTCGGAACGAGCGTTACAATCAGTGGGTGGCTGCCCAAGTAGAAAGTAAAGACAGATGCTTAGGTAGCCCAAGCACAGAAAGGTAGAGGTATTCACGTGGAAGCTCGAGGATCACGTTGCTCTGGGAAAGAGAGCGCACGAGGTGTAAAATTCGAATTTCGGGAAGGAAAGCGGACGAGGCGTGAAATTCGAGTTCCCTCCACCAATACGCGCCTCTCACGTGACATGCGAGCGGTGCTGCCAGAGCGAATAATAACAAGTGACGAATGGATACAAGTGGCGGATTTATGTAGAAATTAGTAAGATTCTGGAGCCATCAGGGTTCCCCCTCTTTTCGTCGATTTATAAGCAGTTGAGACCTTAGCAGAATAGCTGATTTCTCGGTTCAAGACAACGTTTTTTATACCTTAAGTTTCTGTCGTAACGTACAATGACTGTTTTGGACCTGAAGTCTTAATCTAAAAAGCCGTTCTCTTTGCGACCGACGACAAACTCTGTGTAATAAAAAAAGTCAAAGAATTGATAATTAAGGCAAAAATTCAGAGCATAAAATATTGTTTTAAAATTACAAGTTAGGGCCTCGGCAGAAATTGACTTATAATTTTAAGACGATATTTTATATCCTGAATCTTTATCTAAATTATCATTTGTTTATTTGTTTACTGTACAACGTTACTTAAAGGCAAAGACTTAAGGTGTGAAATATTGTTTTAGACCGAAAAGTCAGCTTCTCTGCTAAAGTTCTTAAGAGGCCTCCGAAATAGCCTCAGCATCAGGTCCCAAAGAGTCGCAATCCGGCACTGAAGGGACAACGGGAGACGACGGTCTGGAGTGTGAAAGAACGAGCAGCGCATTTCAAGATTCTATGTCATGTTTATTTGTCCTTCTCTCTGGAATATTCGAAACAAGAATCGCCTCGTACCAGTGTCGACAATTTTCCTTCTCCCTTTTTTCCGAGCGACGCGGAGTTTCTCGTCGGTGTTTCACTCGATGTCGCACGTACGGATGATGATCGCGGGCCGTACTTTTTCCTCTCTCTCTCTCTTTCTCTCTCTCTTGTCGCACTACTAACCGCGTGATAACGCGACTTGGCTGTGACTAGAAGTTGTCATGGATAATTTGGAGTTTACTTTCGCGTCAAAAGCGGCGCTCTCGAGACGGACAGACAGACGAACGAACGATCGCGTGGCTCGGACGTGTTCCACGCGTGAAAGAAAGCCGAGGGTGCAACGAGTGTGGAATCGTCGATCCAGATAAAAAAAAAAGAAAGAAACAAAGAGAGCCTCTGAACGCGGAACGTACTTTTACAGTAATAATATTAATAATAATAATAATGTGTACGCTGACTTTAGTTACGATAACAAAAGTAAGGTTTCATCGGCAGTGCACCGGCAGGCCGATGTCGTGGCTTCGACCGCGATCGAATCGTGCGAAATCGATGATGATGCGATGTACGGCCAAGTGACTCGACACCCGGACGGATGCGCCTCGATGGCCGATCTAAACAGCCGATTTAACCAACCAATTCGGTGAAGGTGAGGTCCAGGTCGTCGCAGATGTATTTGTACTTCTCCTTCTCGTGGACGAGCTCGTCTGCAAGAAAACGCAACACAGTTAGCACACACTTCCCTCTCTCCTTTATGTGTATTTAATTGTCAATTTTCTTATTTTCGCGCTTTGACCGATTGTTAAACAACGACCGGATCGCCGATCGTCGATATTCAGCCCCGAAGATCCGCCTCGGGCGGCAAACCCGCAAGTCGCAAGAGCGAGAGATTTCGTCCGGAGGATCGCCCGGAACGCGACGAGAAATTCCTCTCGGAAGGAAGCCGTGGTTATTATTAGCAGCGAGCGGGGACGAGAGAAGCATAAATGGGCAACTTACGGCATACGTGTTAGGAGTGCAAGCTAGATTTGTATGAGAGATAGTTTGTTTTTTTCTTTTTCTATGCTTTTTGTTTGTCGAAGCGTTATAGAAGGACGGTTAGTAGTAGTAGTAGTAACAGCAGAGCCACGCGGTTAGACGCCGTAGAGCTCGAAGAACGCGTTATCCAGGCCGTCCCCGACCTCCTTGAACTTCTCCTTTTCGGTCACCATCTCATCTGCAAGTATTCGCAACGTTATAGGCAGCGGCTGCACGCTCACATTTGGTCTACTGGGTGCGTGGATGTGTGAAAAAGTGCTCGGAATGAAGAAAAAGCATTGGAGAGATGCGAGAATTTTCTGGCGAGTGCACTCGAGTTGTTACGTTTCTTTTTGGTTTGAAACGTTTTTTGTAGGTGATCTTGGAAATTTTTGTACGATGCAATTTTTGTAAAAACTATGATGCAATTCTGAAGTTTTGTATATTTATCTAGGTTTTAATAATGTGCAGTAATCTCTACACATTATTTTTAATATAAATAAAGTTATTCATAATTTTGTGCAGCGCTGAACGAAAGTTTTGCTCGTACGATTGCCATGATTCCGGACGTTGTATTCTTGAATCAAAATGCCAAAAAAATTGTTAAATTATAAACTTGTAGCTATCGTCCTTACCATGATGGGAAATAGAAATTGATTTCTTAGAAATAGTACGGTTTAAAAGAGAAAAATCGAATTTTGGTCAGTTATTTTTTCAGCTTTAGGAGTCTTTAAAAAAAACTGATTGTTCGAGATATTGATTTTTCAGGCTTTGGAAGTCCTTTAAACAACGGAATATTTAAGATATTGATTTCATTGTGGTGGAAGCGATAAGCCAGAAATATAATTTTTTACCGTTTTGTCTTCAAAAGCTTATATATAATTATTTATAACTATTAATATTGAAGATAATAGTATGTAGAAGTTGCTGTGTATAATTAAAGCATGGATAAATATTTATGCATAACTTCAAAATTGTTTCTTATAGTTTTCTATTCCTAGAAAATCCCCAAAATTCCTGAAATCATTGAACAAAACGTTCCAAATGAGAAAAATACACCTTTAAGATTGCGCAGGTAAGCCTGGAGAAGCAGTAGCTGCGGATCGGTCAAGCGGGTCAGTAGCGAGCAGCATAATTAAGTAAAAAAAAAAATAAATAAATAAATAAATTGATGAATTGATTGCCGATTTGATGAAAGCAACAGTCGAGTACGGATAAATCGTCGTCACGACGCGCACGACGGGACGATCCGTCGATCGTGCTTCAAGTGCTAATGTCGCGCACGTTTATAAAAACACTTTGACTTTTTCTCCTGTGACGTAATATCGTCGATACGAGCGACGATAGCGACAACAAGCGTAGTAGATAACGCGATCGTTCGGCCGGCATCGCGCCGGGAAGTCGCCGATATCAGCGGGCATCGGACAAATAATTCGAAAAAAGCACTGTACTCGCGAGATTGGCGGAGAGAAACGATCATAGACAATCGTGAAGTCGATGGGAAGATCGGGTAGCCATGCGTTGGAGGGAGATGACTAATAAAGTAGCGAAAAAATCGGATATCATAAGCGGATTTACTCACCGTGAATCTTGATCTCGTTACATATACGTACCACGCACACACTGTATTTCTCTTCGTCATGCAACTTTTTTTTATTTATCTCAGTATAATCTCTCGACGGAATGTGCAACAACAGGCGGCCACCAACAAATGCGTTATCGCGCGGGGAGAGTGGACGGTGGTTATACGTCTTCGTTACGTTAACGGGCTCGGATTAATCGGTCGATCGATTAGCGCAGGTGAGAACAGCACAGAACGGAAGAATTAAAACAAACAACAGAAAACACAACACACACTCTTTTTTCAAAATTAAAATATATATTATAAACAGTTTTATATAATAATCGTAATATATATAATAATAATAATAATCATTATATTATTACAATGATATTAGTGTTATTATCATTCCATCCTCATTTTCATTAATTATTAAGTAAATTAATAAACTAAAACTCTCTCTCTCTCTCTCTCTCTCTCTCTCTCTCTCTCTCTCTCTCTCTCTCGTAAACTCAAGTATCTGCGTGTAATTGCTTTTTTTCTCGATTTTCTCCTAGTATCACTCGCAAAGAAGGAAGAAAAGGAAAAATGGGGCCTAACAAAAAATCAACGATATGGGGAGGACGTGTGTAGTCTCTTAGTTGTGCTTTCGTGGATCACTTTTTATCTCTCGGTTCGTTTTTTTTTTCTTTTCTCAACAATAACGTTCGTTCTCGCGGCGGAGAGTTTTCAACGATCGGAGAACAAACGGTCGCGTTCCGACTCTTCGGGTGGCCTTTCGACGATCGCGCGGCGCGCATACGTTATACTGTTCATCGTCGTTTTCTTCTAGAATGAAATTCATGTATAAACGTGGATCACCATCGATCTGACGAAAGAACTCGAAACAGCCGACCCGCACATCCCGTGCGTTGATTGATTGATTGATTGATTCGACGATCGACACGACGTTCAAGTCACATGCACACGATCGCGTTAGAAAGCAAAAAAATCAGAAAAGAGAAAGTCACAACAATTAACATGTTTATCATCAGTATTACACAATTGCATCGGCGAAATATATCGATTTGTATTATAGGTATATAAATGGGCGCCGAAATTTGTTTTTCTTTCGCGAAAAGCCGATCGTTAAAATCGAGGCGTGGATTCGTCTTGCGAAAAGGCAGGCGATATATGGATTCCGTCTGCGGGAATGTTCAGGAATCGAGGCCGACCGTGCTCGATATGCTCGGTTTTTGATCTCCGGCTCGGTGATTCCGCATCTTTACGGTCGTTCGTTTGTCACACGCGTCCCAGTAGAGTCGAGAAACGGGAAAAGGACGATGCGCACTACTACTACTGCCGCTAACTACTGTTACTGCCGCTACTGCTACTACATCGAAAGGCCATCCAAGAATACGCTGCGGGAAAAGTGCTATACAAGAATAACCACGAAGGGTCATGACATCAAAGAGTCTGGACGGGGGAGGAGAGGGCAGTGTGCATACACGCGCGACGCAACGCGCTGGATCGAGAGGAACGAGAAATAAGGAAACTAGAAAAAAGGAGAAGAAACGAAGGAAAAAAATGAAGAAATTAAATAATACACCCCGGAAGAGAGAATTCCTTTGCGCGGAATCGTGGCGGAATGTTCGTTCGATGGCGAGTGGCGTGTCGGAGTAGCGCTAATGTTATTAACAATAACGGTTAATTAATCATTAATAGTAATTAAAGGCGTACTGCTATATGCGCCGTGGAGTGGAAGAGATCGGATTATATATAAATTTCCGTTCTCGTTTCGGCGAAAACTTCGATTCCCCCCCCTCTTATCCTCTCTCTCTCTCTCTCTCTCTCTCTCTCTGTGTTCGTTTCCGATCTCGTTTTATTTTTTTTTCCTGCCATCGCGCGCAAACACATCCGAAAACGAGAAGAAGCACGTTCCCCTGCATCGAGGTTCGTATAATAGTGTTTTGGCCGTGGTTAGTATTTCATATATATAGTAAGTATATACAGGCACGATCGGTAATTATAATATCGAAAACGGCTCAGCTAGCACGGGAAGAGAGCTGCGCTGCAGCGTGACGTGTGCGTGAGAAAAAGAGCCGCATCTTCTCCGTTCCGCGTCTTGCGCGCTTTTCGATCGACTTCTCATAGGCGCTCTCTCTCTCTCTCTCTCTCTCTCTCTCTCTCTCTCTCTCTCTCTCTCTCTCTCTCTCTCGGTAGTGTCTATTAATTATAAATAAATTGTGTGTGTATATATGTATATTAAGTCCCTCTACATGCGTAGGTCGATACGTTTTCTCTGTGTCGTTTACTCGATTCAACGAGGAAAGCTCTCCGGATCTGTGGCGAGTCATTACAAGTCGAGTCGAGGCGCGCGATCGATTTCGTTCGTTGATCGAAGCGAGCGTACACTGCGAAGGCAAAGACGAGGTCGCGGGAATATACTTTTAAGAAAAGTCGCTGGATCGCTGGCAGTGGAGTTAGTCTTAAATGCACGGTTATTACACTCGTCGTCGTCTTTGCCTTCATCGACAGCGGCGATGAGATGTAACGCGTTCCCATCTCCGGGCCGCAAAACCCGGATGGACGGACCGAACCGACGCGGATCTCTTCTTCTCTTTCATCTTCTCGCGCGAGCTGAGTCGCGTGAAATGCGGAATGTAAAGCGACGAAAAGTAATGAGCACTCTGTCAACCGCCTTCGGGAATCGAATCGGAGCAGCGACGTGACAACGAGCTCCATCATCGTTGTAGTCTTGCGCCGAGAGAGACATAGAGAGAGAGAGAGAGGGAGAGGGAGAGAGAGAGAGAGAGACAGAGGCAGAGGGAGCTCGACGAAAAAATGCTCGAGCAAGAGGGATCCAATTGAACGATAAAAAGCGAAGTTAGCATCATTTCGCATCAGCGTAAAAGTCACTTCTAAAAGTTCGTCTGTCACTCAACAGTTGTACTCTTCCTTTACCTCGAAACGACGATTGGGAGCGCAGCTCATACCGCATAATTATACATCGCGTGAGAGCACGATACTGTACAATCATACAGTGAATTATATATTGTGATTTTTTCGTTTTCTTAAATTTCTTGATCGTCTTTGGTACGCTCGAGAACAAATTCGTCCCTCCCTCTCTGTGCTTCCCTCTCCTTGGACGCAAGGTGGTCCCTATTGCCCGTCGCCTCTTTCTCTCTATCACTAAAGTAGACATTCTCTCTCTCTCTCTCTCTCTCTCTCTCTCTCCCTCGCTCGCTCTCTCTACTCGCGTAATCCTCCCACGGCCAAATAGTACCTCGTAAACGAACGATCTAAATCACGGCGAGCTCAGAAAAACGACGCCTCACGCGGTTTCCGCAGCCTCGCGTGCCTCGATCCCCCCTTTTTTTTCTTTATATTTCCTTTTTCTCCTCGAATTAAAACTGAAAGGCGGACTAAACTAAAAATCTAGAGCTAAAGTCAAATTTTTAGATTACAAGTAACTTCGTATTACTTTATACGGGGACCATCCTGCCGGTCTGTCCTTGTCTCGCGTATGATTTGCTCTCTCTCTCTCTCTCTCTCTCTCTCTCTCTCTCTCTCTCTCTCTCCCTCTCTACTTTCGTTCCCTCTTTCTGTCACGCACTCATCCTCTCGTGCTGCATCTTTCTTATTCTTTCTCGCGCACATACACACGCACACACGCACACACACACACACACACACATATGTATTCTCTCTCTACTCGTTCATTTTCCCCCTCTTTCTCTCACATCCTATGTCAGTCTCTGTCCCGCATCGCGCGCATACAAATAGGCACGCGACGCACACAAACGCACATACACGCATTCTCTCTCTCTCTCTAACACACACACACACATGCACTGCGGATGGACGTAATGGAGGGTATAAGGCTAGCCTAAAGACTACATTTTTTTTTCTCCGTAATGTTAAGATGTGCACCACGCACGAAGCGCTCGCGCCGCCGCCGTGCAGCGTGTTTATCTCCTATTCATTCCTTCCTCGTTGCCATCCGTTCTCTCTCTCTCTCTCTCTCTCTCTCTCTCTCTCTCTCTCTCTCTCTCTCTTTCCCTACATATCTGCTTGCATTCGTTTTTCTTTCGTTTTCTCCCTGCCACTGTCCATCTATCTATCTACCTATGATGTCTATCTATATACTTTGCTCGATGTTCGCTCTAAAGCACTCTCTTTCTCTTTCTCTCTCTCTCTCCCTGTCGCGGTTACACGCGTTTCTGTCCACCGCGAAAAACACGATCTACATGTTCTGGATGTCATGCAGGGTGGCCTCCATCTCCTCCTGCAGCAATTTGTTTTTCTCTCTCTCGGCCGCGAGGTCGTCTGCAAAGATCACTGGTTAAAGGGCAGTAACACACACGGGCAAGCCACACACGCTGCGTTTCGGCAGTGTTAGAGGCGGTGGGCAAAATGCGCTAAAAAAACAGCAGACACACTCACACGCACACGCGAAGGTGTGGGGGAACTCTGCTTTACGATTGTCGAAGATAAGTCCGAGTGAGGGCACGATTTTTCTTTTTTTTTCTTTCCACCACGTAATTTTAGTGCTTTCGAGAACCAAAGCTGTCTTAAAACTGCGTTTTTTTCCGTTCGCGACACCTGATCGACACCAGGAGTCTTGAGTTGCAAACCTTTTCAAGTGCGCACAAAAAAAAAAGAAACCTAGCCTGGGAAATGATTCTGTGATCGTCCGAAGCCTCCCTCCTCTTCCCGGAGACTTTTCTCCCTCTAGTTTCCCTAATCCCCCTAAAAGATTTCGTTCTTCTCTTTCTCTTTCCATTCGATGAAAATGAAATCTCGCCGCAAAGTGTCTCGGGTAAAATCTGCGCGCGCGCGCGCGCACCAGTGCATACACGCACCGGTCGGCGCATTCGATCGCAAAGCGTTTAATCGATATAAAGGATCCTATCGTCGGCGAGAACCGAGTGGAATCGGTGTTTCTTAAATGACGACGTCAATGTGCACGTCGTGTCATGTATACGCACCTTCGAGCCTGTCAACCTCCTTCTGGAGCTTCTGCACGGATCTCTCCGCGAACTCAGCACGCGCCTCAGCCTGCGCAGAAGCAACGGTAACGTTAGACGGAAAGAATTGCGCACGCTGTCCGGATGCGATCGCTCGCGGATATTTCAAGGAGGAAAATCTCCCACTCGGCTCCGATTGTCTCGGAAACGCGCGTGGGAGATCATCGGGGCGACATAAAATTTATTCCCCGCGAGACTCGCGATTCATTTTAATCTTTTTTTCTTCTCCTTGAAATCTCGTCGAGGATCGGTCGATATTATGAAAAAAACTCCACACACACGCATGCGAGTAAAACGAAAAATCCTACGTCACGCGAACACACATACACACACATACGTACGCACGACCGCAGTCGTGTTAGAAATCTATTTAAATCGCGATTGCGGAAAGTTTAGTTGCGACACACATACACACACACACACATACACACCACGCTGCAGTACAATTAATACGGTATCATTAGGGAAACAGTGCTTTATTATTTCGAACCAATGCAATCACTGAGAGGAAACCCACGACACTGTTAATACGCTCTCGCGTCCGTCATACCTCGTGATGCGATCTACGAAGTGGACTCTCAGCTAAAGACAGAGCGAGATATACGAAGACTTCGAGAACTTGGTGCGCGGATTTTTTTTTATATTTGACGAGCAATTGACTCTACTTTCTCTCATGCACGATTATCTATTATTTATATCAAATATTATTCCGTTATCTCTAAAGTTATGACAAATATTCGCGTTGCATCTTAATCGTTGAGATCTCTCTTTCTCGGGCAGCGATATATTCCTTTCGTCTTTCTCTCAGTTTATTATATTTTCTTTCGAGATATCGCAAAAACCCGCGCGCGTGTTTTTCCGCTTTCTTCCCGCTTACCTCTTTCAATTGGCTATCCAGAATCTTCACTTGACCCTCGAACGTCTCCTCCCTCTGTGTCGCCTGTTTTTAGTCAAGCACAACAAAAAGACAAAACGAGCTGTCGTTAGTCTACAAGCCTAACACGCTTAGTAATTGTTTTGAGAAAATAATAAAGAAAAGAAAAACAAAGTCGGATGCATAAAAAGAAACAAACACGGGGCCCGGGGGGGTTAATATTTTTAGTGGCAAGATCTACGACAACGCGCGCGGAGGCAGATCACGCGTTAGGAAAAATGCAAAGCGAGACACTCCCTACGAATGAGGATGTGTACCTCCTTTAGACGGGTAGTAAGGGTCTTAATTTGATTCTTGTATTCCTCCTCGCGTTGGTTGGCCTACGTACAATTGCTGATTAATATTTTTTTCTCTTTCTCGCGCAACGTTCATTTCTTTCCGGAATAATTGGATAAATGGATGTCTCAATTAGTGACAGTGTCCCAATTTGTGACAATCGCATTTGTCCTTCTTAAAAGTCAAATAATATACTGCATACTTATTCTAAAAAAGTGTTTTTACTCTAAGTTTTATATATTATCTGTTATAACAAGTTTCGAATAAAGATATTTTTTGATATTTTCTTGTAGCTATTTTTTTAACATCAAGCGATCGAAATCGTACTGTCAAAGTCGAGGAAAGATTAAGTGGTATTTCCGTCACTTCTGAGAATACATTACTAATTAATTAACGTTATATTATATGAATAAAAAAAGTCTAATATAATTAGAATTTCAAATGTTTAAACTTTCGAACAAAATAAATGTTATATACTTAAGACGTATATTATTATAATAATTCACTAATTTATTCTCGCGATGAGATTATTTTGTTACTAATTGGGACATTCACCTTATTTTACGATACTCGATTAGTTTCGCACTGATCGGCGGTCATATATGTACGCATATCTTCCAGATTTGCGAGTTGAATGCAAAAACGGTGCATCTGATTGCAACTTTCTCCCCGGCGGAGTTTCCCGACGTTATATGCACGGACTAATTGGCAGTTTGAGAACATTACGATGTAAAATGAGAATCCGTGAGGGGGCATAATGTAAAATTCCGCGGAATTATATGTTCCGTTCCGATTGTGTTGTACATCGCGCGTAAAATAAATCATTTACCTTCTCCTCGGAGACCTCGAGGGACTTCAAGTTATTGCCGACGACACGCAACTCCTCCTCAAGCTCGACGATCTTGCTGTAAAAGTTAATTGACCATTTAATAATGCGCCGGACGAGATTTGTAAATTTGTGGGTCATGGTCGCGCGCGAAAAGATGTCAAGATTACGGACAAACGTTTCTGATGCTTTTAACACAATATTGGTTTCTTTTTCTTCACTCTTTAAAACGAAGTCAAGTATTTGGGGGAAAGTTAACAACGGAGTAAATTGAAATCTAAAACTTATCTAGATAAAAAGTAACTAATAACAATAATTTAAATGTTATCACGGTAACACCGGACTAGTGACGAATTTCACTGATTTGCGAGGCAAAAGCTGTCGTGAACTTTTACGGGGAAACGTTCATCGGTAACTCGACCGACACACAACAAGCGGGGGCAACGAAACGAGAAACTTGCATTGTGATTGCACAAAGAGAGACGAGACAAACGGCAAACGTGAGAGGGGACACATGCGTGTGATCGCACTTACGATTCGGAAAGCTCGGCCTTCTCCTCGGCACGCTCGAGATCCTGCTCCATCATGACTAGTTTCCTGGCAACCTGTGATCAACAGCCACACGTGTCATGCGCGAAAGCAAAGGTGACGCGGGGGAAGTGTGAGATAAAATGGTAATACAAAGAAATAAGTTGTTAGCATGCAGAGACGCATGGAGTATTCTCCCATGGCGTGCGCGTCCCTCCCTTCTGCTCTTCCTGGCTTCTCTCGTCGGCTGTTGAAAAATTAGCGAGTGCGCTACAACGTTAACTAAAGTAACGCGTCGGATCGTACTCCTGCGTCCGGGAGTAATCCTTCAAGCTGAATTTCTCTTTCAATTAATTGTTCGTTTAAATAATCGAATGAAAAACTCGGGATCCATTACATGCGAGTTCTTTTTCGACGTTCTCTTTCCACCGGGTCGGTCAAAAAGTTCGGTTCGACTTTCAGTGTCACACGGAAGAAAATAATTGATTGCCGCAGCAAATTTTATGCTGTCGCAGCGAAATGTATTAGTTATTATGTGGACCGCAAAATTTAAGAATATTAATTGACACTCGCTGGATATATTTTGCTGAATCTACAAATTGCTTTGCTGTAAGAACAAATTAATAAATGTAGAAAAACACTATTTTGTTCTAACAGCAAAGTAACGTGGGACTAAGAACAAATTCACTCGGTGAAAAGTTTAGTTTCCTATCCTGGCAACAAAACTGTTTCTGCTCTAATTACGAGTAATTCGATAATTTAGTCATGCCAACTAAATTTTGCCTCCGTCGCAACAAACATGCAGCGGCAACGTTGCGATTTTGCTACAATAGCAAATTGTTTTTCTCCGTGTATCTTCTTCGCGATAAAAATCAGCTACTTTCCACAATCGAAGTATTTAAACACTGCTGGAACGTTGACGGAAGGATCACAGATATGATAATTACTTAATTGACGCAAATAACTTGATATAATATTAATCATAAATAATAATAGATTTCATTCCCATTAAATGCAATAAAGTCGAACTGAAGCAGACTTTTTGAGTGAAATTGGATGCAAATTTCAGCTTGCTTCTCTCGGACGCAGGAGATATCGCAAGAGAGCCACGATTACTGTTCGAGACATCGCTCTCAGAATCTTTCTACGTGACTATTTTTTAACAATCAGACGCCGTCGATGTCTCCACGTGATCTTGGCTCTCCGCGATCGCGCGCGCGAGGTGGATATTGATTCGTACACTCCATACACACAACAGATTCAACGACATAATCACGAAAAAGTATCGTTAACGTGCAGTTAACGGGCATGGGTGATGATTAAGGGGATATTTCCGTCTGTGCCGTCATCGACGGCGCGACGCGGGCTAACGGTGCTGTCAAAAGTTTCACGAGCGGGCACGACGGAACGGGAGCGGGCCGAGAAACTCACGACCAAGCGTAGAGCCCGGAAAAAAAGGGTCCGAACGGGAGAGGGACGGGGGGAGGGGGGGCCGGAAGAGGAGAGGGACACGGGAGGATCTCGTTCGCACTGCGGACGAAAAGCGCCGCTAATAAAAACGATGCTTACGACTCTCCGGCCTCCGCACGCTCCTCGGCGCGTTCGAGATCGGCCTCAACCATGGCCAATTTACGGGCGACCTGTATAAACGACACATACATACACGGTTTCTAACGTGTGTGCCCTCCCCCCGCCTCCTTGCGGCGACCTCGCCGCCTCCGAAAACGCGAGGCGACGTGGACGGCACAAGAGAGGCACGACTCGCCGTCGTCGTCATCGTGGTCGTCGTAACCGCGATTGGAAGAGTTACAGTCGGCACGAGGTTTCCTCCTTACTTTCCTCACGCGCTCCGAGCCCGCGTCTTCCGAAACGATGATCTCTTTCTGTCCCCGCGATGTGCAATTTATTCCGCTCTCTATGACCAATTTATTAATAAAACCATCCGCTCGCGAGAACGCAAGATCGAAAGTTACAATTTTCAACGGGCTGAAGGTGATAAAATGACGGGGCGACGAGGACGCCCGATAAAATCGTCGCCCCGATTTAGGTCTCGATTCTTACGGAATTTCATGTACACGTGGAAAAAATAATTCCATCAGTGTAACTGAATTTCCCGTCGCCCGGGGATCAGACGAAAACTCAGGGTTGCACACACAAACAATACATACTACATTCAGGTAAATACTTGTGTCAAATATTTCATGAGTTTGTATATCAGTAAACATAAGTTCAATCATAAGCGTCCATATATTATGAAGTAATAATATAAATTTAATATACTTTATATGAAAAATATTGAATTAAAACAAACTTCGATTTGTGTTTATCCAAATTAATCAAGCTTAACTTGTCTTCGATAAAGTTTGTAATATTCTTCAAAAATAAATTCTTTTTTTGAGTACGTATGATAAAAGGGTTTTCTCAAATCTGTGGTGAATACATTTCAAGACTATTATCGAGAAAAAATACTTTTTATCGAAGATAACTGCTATTTAAAAGAAGGGATGTAAACTGAGTAATTGCTTTTCCTAACAGTTGAATGATATTTTTCTCTTTATAACCGAGTGTTTTAATTATTATTTTTTAATTATTATCACATACTATTATAATTATGTAGCTGAATGTTCTCAATTGTAGTAATAGACACATCATTTCTCGTCACCGAGTTTTCATCTGGTCTCCATTCAAATGCGGGAACTGAATTTCTTTTTCCGTGCACGTTCTCGTAGCGTAGCTTCGTGTGCGAATTGAAACGCGCGTCATTCGCCGCCGTGTGGCCGACTTCCCGAAATTCCGCAAGCGCAGCGTAACTTCTTCCAATCGGGCACGCTGATCGAAAAGCCGGGACGAACGATCAGAAGCGCAGCGCGGCTTGCGGTACTGATCGATTCGTCCCGTAAACGCACGCAAAAGTGCGACGTGTGATCACCGTGCGCAAAAGATCGCGGCGGGACGGGAAGGATATTTTCTCGACGATGGTGTTGACCGTAATTCAAAGCGTCAGCCGTCGACTGCAAGTCAATTGCGATTTGGTCGTCTCACCGCGATCTTTCACTTGCACAGCGCAACTTCCGCGCAATCGTGACGCAACTAGTGTCGTAAGCCGCCGTCTCCCCCTTAATTGAGAGATTCGCGAGTCTCGACAGTTCGGTCGATCGATCCCGCACGCAGAAAATTCTTGTTGAATAACGTAGCATATTGATAGCATAATTAATGGTAGATCTGTATTATGTGACTAGGATATACTCATATTGAAGCCAAGATTTACATATAACAGTAATAAACAAATAATTTGATGTATTTTTTAACCTGATTGTATGTAAAATATTGGCAAATTTTATCTCAAGAAGTAACTATTATGTAATGTATAGTATTATTGTGTATGTACGTCTATGACAGCAGAAAAACGAGATATTCGTTGAATTTATAGTATAGATCGTGGTTTCTGAACAGCAAAATGCAGTTGTAATCGTGTCGTTCGCATTGCTTCCTAAATTTTCCGTACTGCCTTGAAATTATAGTTCTAAAATTTTGAAAAAAAAAAAAAACGTTTGTTTTTATTTCTCCGCAAATTTCTTCGGTACGCGTCTCAAGGGTACAAAAAGTCGTTTAGAAAAATTCACGTGTTTGGTTAAAGCTCGCCATATTTACTTTTTCCGTAAAGTAAGAAATAAGAAAAAAAAAATCCGCAGGAAAATTGGAAAAAAATAATTTTTATTCTAAACTTGAAAACAATACCCTAAAATCATTTCGACGTTACAAGTATATCCTAGCCGGGCCAGAACTACCAGGTAATTTTTCAGTTCATGAATGTTTATACCTTCGAGAACAAAATTTTCTGCATAGGTTTCATTTCTCATACCGGTTCATATCGGTCAACAAAACCGTCCTTTGCACGCGAAACGTTACTTAATCCGCCCGAAATGTTAGTCCGGCAAATTTACACCGATTTTAACTTAGAAGGACCTCCCGGGGCATAATTGTCCGCGAATGGCTTGCATGATGCTCGACGATCGGTAATAATAATCGCATTCCTCCATCGCGACGAAGAGGAGACCCCTTCGTTCAATTTGTCGCCGGGAAAACGTAAATCGTCCCGTCGCTGTAATCACGTCGTTCCGATTCCGCAATCACGCTCAGCGAGTATTTAGCATCGCAAATCGTGCGAGCGAAATATTGCATGATGTTTACGACAACTATTTTAAGCCCCGAGAAATTCCGATCGCGCTTCTTACGATGGAGTTGCGACACGCATTGCGCGAAATCATCACACGTGTGTGTACATGTGCGATGAGAAGAAAAAAAAAGAGAGAAAGAAAATAAAAAGAAAAAAACGGAAGATTAACAAAGACATCGGCACACTCGGTTGCTGTTAGAGCTTGTTGCTTGGTGAGTCTCTGCAATAATGTGTGGAGTTAGATCGTTAATTGAGATGTTAAGGCGGGCGATATCTCGGGGAAGGAGAATGATCTACTGAGGTAAAGTGGAAGATTCTAGCGCGATGTTGCGATAGGATCGATCTTCACACACACTCGCACACGGATCGCCAGTTAAGTTTTGCGTATGCTGTTAATTGAAGACGATTCTGCGGATCGTCATCGGGTAAGGGAGATAAAATCGGTTGAAGTTACGGTGAACGGAAGGAGGATTTCCAATTCAATTCGAAGTATCGCACGCAGTTATCGGCGTCGCGATAACAACAACGCCACTTCCCGGGGATTTTTCTTGAAAATCCCTCGCGCGAATCGTTCGATGGAAAAAATGAAATCACGATCATTGGCGATATCTCGCGAACGTGATTAAAATTGTGACAAAAAAAAGTAAAGAATAAAAAAAAAGTAAAAATAAAGACACACAGGGCACGCGGTGCGCTCATTGTCGCGAATAAATCGCTTCGTTTTATTTATCTACATTCTTATAAAATTTCTCGTACAAAATGTACACATCCTAATTTATATATCGATGAGTCGCGCGTTGCCAATCAAACAATTCGCCGTACGCGCACGCGAAGAGCCGACCGGCCGGAGGGGAAGGCATTTCGAGTAATTTTCGCCGATATCTTATCCGGCGCTATCGCGATCGCCGAAGGATCGTTAAACCGCGTGTGCGTCACGAAGAAGTTGCATGTCACCGTAATTTCAACGTCTCGCCGCGGCGGGGCCACACCTACCATCATCTCATTCACATCACGACTCTCGTTAATATTTTCGGCGCGCGTTCCGAATCTCGCTGCGAAGCGGAACGAGCGTCCTCGGACAGACACACACAGAAGCAGCAGTAGCACCATCATCGTAGTCGCGACGACGCGAAGTCGCGGCACCTTCGCGCCGTCTTAATATCACAAACACAACCGACGATCTCGACGATATCGTACTGAATACATCAAATTTGGTGAGCCCGTCCCGGCTCTGTCCGATCGACGCGTTCTCACGACGAACCATCTTTGTTGTCGTTGTCGTTATTATTATTTCACACCCACCGGAAGGAAGGATGAACTCTCTGAGTTATACACGTGCGGTCTCTTTTTTTTTTCCTTTTTGCGAACCAGCCCCGAACTCGGTCGCGCAATCTCGGAATCTAATCTAACAGTATATGTACGTATATATATATATGTTTAACAAGAGGAATAGCAACAATAGCATGAAAATTCTACTTTAAGAAACTGGCACTTGAGAACGCGTTTCGTCTTTTGGCTGCCCCGATATAGTGAGAAAAAACACTCGGAAATCACAGATATCTGATTCGAAATACGTTCGAGTGTCGCGCTCGAAACCACGTGACACTGCATCGTTGTATCCACTATCTTCTCTCTACCTCTCTTTCTCTTTTTTTTCCTTTCGTTCCCTTACTTCGCTTCTCTTCGAGCGACCCTCGAGATCCTCTCTCGTAACGCGCACGTTAAAAGAAAGAGAGAGAAAAAAAAAGAGAAGGATCTTTTTTCGAACACTGCACTGTCGCGAACACGTGAAACTCTCTTCTAACAACTCTTTTTCTCCTTCACTCTCTCTCTTTCTCTCTCATTCGCCGAGCTGGACGCGATGATCACAGATCAGTATTCACGACTCGTTTACCCTTTGTGCTCCTTCGAGAATTCACTGCGAGGCGACGATGATCCTCGTCCCCTTCTTCCTCGACTTCCTTTTACGATCGGCGGTGAGCTTATTGCACAAACCGCGAACGAATCAACGATTTAACGAGCGCGAACAAGCGGATGTTCGCGCGAGCCGGATGAAATTTCTCTCATCCCGCCTTATAACAAGAATGCACGTTTTATCACGTTATGTCGCGAAGCACGACGACGACGTACGTCGTTTTCTCCTCCCGAGCGCACAACAGAGTAAAAAGACAGAGAGTTACGGGGTTAGGCACTATTTTGACTATCGACTAGGAACCGTTATCGTCATGATTATCATCGTCACTGCAGCCAACACGCTCGACAGTAGCTCGATAGTCGCGAACCTCATCGTATTTCTTGTCGGCTTCTTCGGCGAGGAACCTGGCCTCCTTCAGCTGATTCTCGAGGGCATCCATGCGCTCTTCATCCGCCAAGCTGCGATTCTCGAGAATCTTGCGGGCGCTTTACGGTGGGACACATGTCGAACGAAAGAGTATGCGATTAAAAATCAATCAAAACGAATTGGATCGAGGTTTTATAAGGAAGTAGATATCGGGATGTGATCGCCCACAGGCGTCTGCTCCGCTTCGCTCCGCTCAGGAACACTACCTGTGAAACTGCACCTGAAAAGATATTCGGGAGAGGAACCACCGATCTACCCGGACGCGATTTTTGGTACTCGTAAAAGCGCCACGTGTGTCTCTCATCGAATAGTCGAGATTGAGCCTCGTTAACCGCGCACGAAGGTGATTTTCTTTCTTCGTAAAGAGCACTTATTATTTCACCCGTGAAAGTTCTCGAACAGAGTATCGATCACGTAACTTTTTCCCTAGAGCGAAAATGTGAAAAGTGAAATGTTTTTAAATTAGAAAATTTACACCTTTCACAAGTTTACGCTAGAGGAGAAAATTCATCACCTCCTGGGTGTTGATTATGAATCTTCCCCTCTAGCATGAATTCGTGAAAAGTAAAGTTTCTAATTTGAAAAATCTCACTTTTCACTTTTTCGTCCTACGAGAACAGTTATGTGATCGTGTTGTGCTTAGGAATATACGGTAAATGAATTAAAATTTAAATTATATTTCACTGAATTTCATTCTCTCAACTCGTATAGTCAAAGTAGACTTTTGGTTTTCGAAATAGCAGATATCTTGAATTTTTTTCCTCTATAAAATTGTGCAGAGGAGTGAGAGTAGAGAATTATATGCGCGTTTGCACGGCAGATCGCGAAGTACCGCCGACGTCCTGACGATCAGTGGTTCGTCTCCGACAAAGGAAAACGAAGGGCCCTTCGCCCTTTTTTCGCCGGTGTACGTGACCCACCTCCTCGTATTTCTTATCCGCCTCCTCTGCGATCAGTTTAGCCTGCGCTAGCTGCTGCTCCAACAAGGATACCCGGTCGTCCTCCATGTTAGTGCGGTTTTCGAGGGCCTTGCGTATCCTAGCGATCGATTATTCGTCGGTTTTTAAAAACACAAATTGATCACCGTCGGTCGCTTTTAAAATTTTGCCTCCTCCTCGATTAAGAAGGAAATACAAACGCAAATCTCGTCGAGCCGTTCTATATTTTCTCTTATCGTTTCTCGAGGTATCGCAAGACGACCAAAATGGGTTATACGCGCTTTTCAATTCCATATTCCTCTCCTCGTGATAGCTATGATAATACATCCATCGCGCGACCGCCAGCCGGAAAAATGCAGATATCGACTATGGAATACGTTTGACGACTTTTCGTACTTAAGAAAGTACAATATGCCGCGACAAGAACGCGCGTACACGTCATCCCTTATCAACGACGATAAGTGCGCATAAGCGTTATTTCGAGCATTTACACAGCGACGAGGTATTGCGACCAATGATCACACCGGCAAAGTGACGGACCTCGCGAATTACTGATCGTCCACGGCACTTGATTCTTCGCGTACAAATTATAAAATTTACCGTACGTTATAAAAAAAGAAATCTATCAATAAAAACAGTTTTAATCTGTAAAAAAAAAGAGTGAAAATAAAAGAATATCAGGCTTCAAATTTTTCTACCGTGTAATCTTTTTTTGAATATAATTCTCTGTTGCAAATTTAATTCTTCCTTCTTAAATTAATCAATTATCAGCGCGATAGGACAAATAATTAGCGCGATTTTCCGTCGGCGAAGTACCAGGAAAATAAAGCGTCTTGCGCGTACTAAGAAGTAAATTATCGTCGCGGATATGATACGATCAACGCCGGAAAACGCACGCCAGGATGTGGTGTTCGACATCTGCGGATTCTCGCATTTCGAAGATATGATTTAGCGAAGAAGAGAGGAAATATCACGAACTATACTTCGTTAAATCGTGTACGACGCGACCGTCCATGAAGCGACCACTCTTATTTTCGCGACGATCAAAACACACCTACTCTTCTACACGCGAAGGCTACAGGACGAAGAAATCGGTGTATAGCGATTATAGTTCTCGGATTTTCGCACTTACCATAATTTCGCATTTATCATAATTATATACAAGCGTGGCTGGAATATTAAGGGGACTACCGCGTTTGGCTCTGTATCTGGCACATATTAGTCATCGTGAAATTGCAGGCGCCGTTGCGCATCGAGATCGCAATATTATTACGTCGCGGAAAGATAATTGGAGGCATATCTGTTTCTTCAGATCATTATCTCGCTTCTATTCCGATAATTTTGACGGAATAATCGTGCAAACTTCCGAGCGAAATAACAGAAGAACGATCAAGGGTAAGGTGTCTAATCATATCTCACAGACGGATACGAATGTGATTATATTGATTAATATCCTAATCAAACGACATGAAATAAACATTAAAAAATTCTATCAGAGTCTAATCTAATCGATGTATGATATCTATTCTACACTCTTGCTCGTTCTTAAAGTAAAAGAAAAAAATATAGAGCAATGAGCAATTATTTTCTACCGACATCAAGCATAGACGTGCCCGCATTATCTCGTCAAAATGACCAATTTATGGAATATTTATCATGGTAGAAATGTATGCAGTTTTTTTAGATACCTATCCAGTTACTGTCTAGTATTAATGCATTCTCATTGATTGTAAGAATACCGCTAAGAAATGGACAAGAATTTGATTGAGCTTCATTCAGTAGTACTTCTAAAACTACTCATTTCATAAGTAACGGGCTTGCTTATTAATAAATTGAATAGTTTTTTGTCCATTTATTGTTTTGTTTTCATTCAGTAAATGAGTACAGACTTTGCGCATCTTTTGTGCGCAGTAATTGCAGGAAAAGCGTTACATCTTGATTGGGGCCCCAAGTAGTTTTACTTTTCAGTTACTAAACAGAAGTTAGTAAAGAAAGTGTCCACTATTTACAATCTACAAGCGTCAGACATTGTATGAGGAATTCAGTGCAATCAATCGACTGAGTATGTTGGCCAATACAATGTTTAATAATATCGATTTTTTAAATTTACCTCATAATGCTCTCAGAGCTAAACTTAGTATCTTGACGTTCTTGTAAACTTTATTTTCGATACTTTTAATTAAGCCATGTTTTTTTCTTTGTAAAGCAAACAAATGTAATTATGTAGTTTTGTTCCAAAGGAAAAACTTCTGCCCGTTTAGACAGTAAATAAATAAATAATAAGCTGTCCAGTAACTGTTCAATCAAGAAATGCACGAAATTTCTACCAGGATAAAATGAAAGATATAAAACGGACAATTTAAATTTTATCTTCTACTTTGATTTAACAATATAATCGCTCATTGTGAGTCATAGGTAATAAATAAGGCTATTATTACACATATTCGCAGTAACTTTTGTCGCATAATTATCAGTGGAGACTTACCGTTCGCTCTCATCGGCAGCCTGCGACGCCTCCGCCAATTTGGCAGTGGCAGTAGCGAGACGCTCCTCCGATCTTTCGAGGTCCTCCTCCAACAGCTGGATGCGGCGATTCAAGGCGGCGACCTCGGACTCAGCCTGCAACACACAGGAGAACCCATCGCGCATGAAATAACGGTTAAAAATGCAGTCGCTCATCGTTCGTCGCTCTACGCCACGGTAACGCTACGAGCATTTCTATTGTCTACACACATTGATATCGAACAATGCCGCTTTTGTGGTAATAAACCTGGACGATTATACTCGCAGCAATTAAAGCAGCAATAACGATGCAAGAGATGAAGCAACGGAAACGCTTGGACGGAGTCAAACGAAGCGACGTGGTGGAACGAGAGGCTGATCCGCTATATCCTCCTTCCTACCACGGGCTTCTCTTAGCTACACAACGACATTGTAATTAGAGGCATGTCGATGCCGGATTAGGCACGATCCGAATCCAATTCTAATGCCGTAACCTGCCGCGCGTGATCAAAGCTTGTGTCGCGGTACAAAGCGCACGGGGCTAGAGATCGCCGGAATCCCTACACGTGCGCATATCAATGACTCGGAGCCCGCTTCGCGTGCTGCATTATAGAGTCGAATCAAACGGATCATTGTGCGCGTCATCGATTCCGACGAAACTTCTGGTCTGTAAATACAGCGTTGCCTCACCGCGCGTCAAACAGAGAGAGATACATCGGCGGCTTCGTGCGAGACAGAGGCTTCTATATCGGACTCGGAAAGTTGGGCCTCTGATTATTCGATTAGCCAAGTACGAATTGATTTCCCAGTTAATCATGTTCGTCGAGGAACGGGAAGTTCGAGCCATCACCGAGTCAATAGTCATCGGTCAGATGTGTATCGGTCAGAATGCTTCTTTTCAAAGCTTAGAGAGATAATTTTTGCAGAATAATTTAAAAGATATTTATAACAGTTGATTTTTTATAATTACATTTTGCAATATGTATCTTTGAAAAGATATAATTTTATATTAATTTGTAAAGATATATTCACAGAAATTATTAATTTTATTAATTATTATAAAATTATAATTCTTCCGTGAACATATGTTTCCAAATTAATATAAAATTATATCTTTTCGAAGATGCATTTTACAAAATGTAATCACAGAAAGTCAACCGTTATAAACATCTTTTTAAATTAATAAAATTGTATCTCTTCAAAGAAACGAAGAACCTTGTTCAAGATATTTATAACCATGATTTCAACGCGCATCTATGTATTTATCATTAATTACAGCAAACAAATTACCGCGCATTTTCAATCATTGCATCCGCTGTTGACGGATGAATAAATCTCAGATCGCAGACCGGGTAAACCAATTCCGGCCGTGATCACTTCCGAAAGCAACGACTCTCTCGCCGAGCACCATCGGTACGGGATTGTATTAGATGAAACGAAGCGTGCGATTTTCGCGGATGTAAATTACTTAACGGTCGATTACGCGTGTATCCGCGTACACAATTCCCGTGGCCCTTGTCCCCGTTAGCTGCACCTGTTACGATTGTGCGCCCAATAAAATGGCCCTAATTCATTCCGCGCGCAGGGAACGCGTCCTTTCACGCGCTACTTTACTAACGGTGCGTGAACCTCGTGTATTCACGGATTCGGCACACCTACGTTCGTTTCACAGGACTGATGTCAGCGGACTGACAACAACGATTGCGTAACCACTTAAACATAACCCGTGGTGTCGCGAACGGTGCTATCACACCCGACCGCGATCGTTCGCGTTCATCGTCGGTGTCGTCGTCGTCGGACGTCGCCAATTTTTCCAATTCATCGAGTAAAGTGAAGGGCGACTTCTCACCGTACTCGTGATTATGACGCGTAAATAAAATTGGCTGTATCGGCGAATATCCCCCCTCCCCCCAAAAAAAGAAATTTCCATCTCTCTCTCTCCCTCTATTGTCTGGAAGTTCACGTAAAATATTTAGATTTATTCCCAACGGACTTTTCGGTGGGCGTTCCAGTTACGAATCGTCGAACTCTCGCGACGAGTTGTTCGCGCGAATTCAACGATCGTAAAACCCGACGTGCTGGTGGCCCGACGTCGTTGCTTCTCTCGTCGCTACGCGTTTCGCTCCGTTCCGCTGTCGGTGCCTCGCTCAATCGCGCGTGCCACGCAACGTTACGCACGTTACGCTCTTGCAGTACAACGTTACCGTACCCACACGACGAGGACGAGGACACGAACCGGCGCGAACTTTGTATTCGGAGGGAAACCGGCACGCCCACTCACACTTGTGCGAGCGAACAGGTCGCAGTCGGTGATATCCGCGGTTACGTCGGCTAAGTGTGCCAAACTTCCGCCTCTCTCGTTCGCCCCCTTTCCCGTGAGCTTTCATTACAATCCATTTAATTCGCCGCGCGCGATCCTCCCAATCGACGTCGGACGCGATCGCGAATAATTCGGCAAACACGAACGGCGAATCTTGACCAAATTCCAGGAGATATCTTCGAAATGTAATTTATAAAATTATAATTTTTGTGTGAATACATTTTTCCACATTGATAAAATTATGTGGAAGTCTCCGTCTCGCACAAGGCCGCCGATGTTTCGGAAAACCCGGAGGTGGGTGCGCGAAACGACTTCGGATTTGTCTATTTCCGTAGTTGTTTGTTCACCGAAGGAATCTCCGAGGGTCGAAAGAACCGCGATGTAAGCTCGACATATTTTATATCTCTCGATACCCGAGACTCGAGTATGTGTTCCATCGTGCTTGTAAATAAATTCACTTCAAGGTGTCGCGCGAAACAGTGTTCTGTTGTGTAAACTTCTGTCGACAATAGAAAGTCCCGGCGTAAAGCCGTCACGAGACGCCAAATATCCGTGAGATATCGCCTTAGCGAGACCACCGCTGCGCGAATCGATCAAGTTTCTCGTCTTATCGCGAGATCCTTTCCTGTGTAAGCAACAATCAATCCGTAATCGAATCAACCGACCCGATACGTCGTCGGTTTATTTATCGTCGCAGTGCCGTCGACGGCACGGAGGAACGGAGAAAAAATTGCGATCGCGACACACACCGACGACAGTGCGGCGCATGCTGCACTTCATCGCTCAGTGACAAAAGCTCATTAGTGCGGCCTGAGCGGGTCTATCCGTTGGCCTTTAAAACGCATTGCGCGTATTACCGGCGAGTGCGTTAGTCTCCGTCACGAGAGTGCGGAATTTTGCGGTGCATCTCCGCCACTGCGCCGGAAAACGAAGAGGAGCGCGCTTGTTCCACGCTACATCGAGCGAAAAATGGCTCTCTAACTCAAAAAAAGAGTTCTGTCGATAAGACTGAACCAGGCGCATTTAACTCTCGATAGATTATCAAGACCCAATTTTAGTTTTTAAGTTTCTTTCTTGAACAGTTCCAACTATTTGTGAAGATGAATATTTCGTGAT